CCCCTTCCTCATGAAACACCTTGCATTTTGGAGACAAACTTACCCCTTTATACCGGTTCTATTTATTCAGACGAACGACTACAAAGAGCAGATGCTGAGTGAAAGAGAGAAATTCAGAGCAGAGAAAGCCGAAAGCGTGACAAGTTTGCAGAAGACAATCGATGACTTGCGGGGCGAACTTTATCATGCCGAGGAAAAATTGCAGCAAGCTCAGGGCGTCTATTCATCCAGGGAGTCGCTTCGTCCCAGTACTCTGCGCGGAAGAAGCAACAAAGTAGGCGCCAGAAGCACCCTGACGGGCAGTACAGACAGCTTGTTCAGGGACAGCAATGTAAGCGATCAGATTGCGGGGCGCAACCCATTCAAACTACACGAAACTACCAGAGAGTTCAAAACCTCCACTTTGCCCTCCCGATTACACACGGTGGAAGAGACAATCACTATCTCCAGGCGAACCTCCACCACAGGCCCTGGTGAGAAATTGTTTCATTTGCGAAAAGTTCAATATTTGAGCGGTTCAGTTCATTCCAGCACGCCCCTTGGAGATGGAAGACGAAGAAGACAACGCATTTAGTAATAAATATTTGAATGAACTGCGTGAAGGCAGGTCTCTGCAAAAACAGCTGGCTGACGCAGTTGCAGGTGAGTGGATGGGGGTTTTACTTGTGAACTTTTGCGATAGATCTTTGTTTTGTTTAGCAGGCGGAGCCTCCAACTCCAGTCGAGTTTCGGAGTTGGCGCGACGGAACACAATGGTGCCAGCCCACTTGAAAAGTTCCTATCCGCTCGAGACACAATATGTGAGCCTTTCGACGGCCAGGGACGAGGACATCAAGGTATAGTAGAGTAGTTTGGAGGACAAGAAATTGAAACATAAATGTGCGTTTGGTAGTCGGGCCAAGTCAACTTGGACGACAGTCTATCCAAGCTGCTGCCGGGTGAAAAGCCGCGGCAAAAAAAGGACTTCGGTACCACTTCGTATAAGAAGCCCGGCCCGCCGACGCCGAGCAAGAATGGAGGTAGGGCTTCGCTGCAAGGCAACGAGCCGCTTCCATTGAGAGAGACCAATGCCACACATAAACAGGTAAGGGCGTTATCGCTTCCTGTAGTTCATACAGCGGCTAATGTTGGACGTTGTTTGCATATTTGCAGGTCACTCCAGGTCGAATTCGGACCCTCTTCAAGGGACTCAGGGACGGGATGCGAGCGTCCCGTGACAATAGCGAGGTAACTTTACGGGGTCTCTTTAGTGAACCCCTGAGCTGTAGTAGTTTGATCTGTTTTGTGGGCGAGTGCTTCAAGAGGCAACTCGCTTCTCTTCTATGTAGGGGAATAGACTTTTTGTAGCGTAGCGTAGTGGTGCTGGTTGTTGAATGCACGCAAGTTGGCGAATTGCGCTAATTGATTGGTCCTCAATTGCAGAACTTCAGTCCACGTGCCGCCAAACCGTTGGGCACGGTCCGGAGGAGAAAGTGAGGATTTGGCAAAAACCGCTGTGATTGAAACCAATATTTCTTGTTCATGTTGATAAGTAATACAAATATTTTTTTAAATAATACTTTTAAACCAGAACAGGTACAGGTCTTGCTTTCACCTATTTTAGATGTTTACCCCCGGTTGCACCGTTTTCGCCTTAAACTCTGAGTAGCTAAACACTCATTATATCTTAACCGGTGTTTAAAAAAAAAAAATGCGCTGAACCGTCGCAAACTAATCGTCGGTTAGTTAATCAGAGAATCACTATGGCACCTCCGCTTTTTTGGCTTAGGTTGCTATCTTCATGATTATCGAATTTTATTTCACATGATCTTTCACAGCCACCTCTCGTGTTTATCCAGAGACAAGTTGTCTCTGGTTTATCTATGTTCATAGCAACGCGGCCAGTAATATATTGGTTATGTTATATTTTATTTGTGTCCTACTCTTTGAATATAAAACTAACGGCTTCGATGGAGCAGGAGCTGGAGCAACTGACGGCGTGCAACGAAAAGGAGAGTCAGGAAAAGCAGAAGCTGTTTGCTGAAAAAGCGGACATTCTGGAAGATTTGCAGAAAACCATTCGGGAGAAGGAAGAGCTCAAACAGTTGGAAGTCCAAGTGAGTTCGATGGAACAGGAGCTAAACCAACTAAGAGCGTGCAACGAAAAGGAGAGTCAGGAAAAGCAGAAGCTGTTTGCGGAAAAAGCCGAAATTCTGGAAGATTTGCAGAAAACCATTCGGGAGAAGGAAGAAGCTCAAACAGTTGGAAGTTCAAGTGACTTCGATGGAACTGGAGCTAAACCAACTGAGAGCGTGCAACGAAAAGGAGAGTCAAGAAAAGCAGAAGCTGTTTGCCGAAAAACCGAAATTCTGGAAGATTTGCAGAAAACCATTCGGGAGAAGGATGAGTTCAAACAGGTGGAAGTCCAAGTGACTTCGATGGAACAGGAGCTAAATCAACTGAGAGCGTGCAACGAAAAGGAGAGTCAGGAAAAGCAGAAGCTGTTTGCTGAAAAAGCCGAAATTCTGGAAGATTTGCAGAAAACCATTCGGGAGAAGGAAGAGCTCAAACAGTTCGAAGTCCAAGTGACTTCGATGGAACAGGAGCTAAACCAACTGAGAGCGTGCAACGAAAAGGAGAGTCAGGAAAAGCAGAAGCTGTTTGCTGAAAAAGCCAAAATTCTGCAAGATTTGCAGAAAACCATTCGAGAGAAGGAAGAGCTCAAACAGTTGAATAGATGGTGGCAAAAATAAAATACTATTGGCCGAAAAACCTACAAAGCTAAATAGGCGTTTTTTACTGATTATCATCACGGTCACTAATCAACCACAACTTATAATCTATGTTTTGAATCAAATGTGATTTCCCTTTAAAAATTAGCAGATTCTAAACTGAAGTATGGTAGTAATATTAAATTGTCGCTATGTTTAAAAGACACGGAGCTCTAAAGATGTTATGAGTTTCGTCAAAATAGACGGGAATCCTGAGTTTTACCAGCTCAAAATCACTCAACTGCGATCTCGCTTGACAAAAAATCGCGTGTTTCAAACTAACGCATGTAGAAATTGGAAATTGTCAGCATCTTTAGAAGACACTTGGCCCTGCCGACCCTCAAAGTCTCATAAAAATCGCCGGGAATGCTAATTGTTGCCAGCTTAGTAAATACCGCTCTGAACATGGATGTTTTATTCAACCACGGCATCGCCTTAAAAAATTCGCATTCTCCAAACTAAAGCCAGTAGCAATATAAAAATTTCWCGATCTTTAGAAAACACTTGGATCTAAAGATRCTTKCAGTTTCYYTAGTCACCCGAAATTCTGATTGTTCACAGCTCAGTAAATACCGCTCTGAAAATGGATGTTTTATTCAACTACGGTCTCGCCTTAAAAAATTCGCATTCTCCAAACTAAAGCCAATAGCAATATAAAAATTTCACGATCTTTAGAAAACACTTGGATCTAAAGATGCTTGCAGTTTCTTTAGTCACCCGAAATTCTGATTGTTCACAGCTCTGTAAATGATGTTTTATTCAACTACGGTCTCGCCTTAAAATATTCGCATTCTCCAAACTAAAGCCCGCAGCGCTTCGAAACTTTCACGATCTTTAGAATACATTCGGACCCAAAGATGCTTGAAGTAAAAAAGGGAAAAATAAGCAAACAGACAAATAAAAACATATTATTCTACAAGCAGGTCCATTACATTCACATACTTATATACAACACTGTGCAGTCTTATTTCTGGGGCTGTTTCGGGGGTGGGGGCGCATCCAGAAGGGCGCTTCTGATCCCCACTTTCTCCAGCTCCTCAATCAGATCGCCAGATTGGTGCAACTGCAGCACAATATCGCAGCCCCCTACAAATTCCCCATTGATGTACACTTGGGGGATTGTGGGCCAGTTAGAGTAGTCCTTAACGCCCTGTCGAAGGGCCTCGTCAGCCAACACGTTGTGCGCCTCGTAGGGCACCGCATGCATGCGCAACACCTGCACTACAGCATTACTGAAGCCACATTGGGGCTGTTCTGGCACCCCCTTCATAAACACCACCACTTTATTGTTGGTCACCAGTTTTTTGATTTCTTCGGCAGATTTCGAGCTGCTGTAACGTGCCAAGCTACCGCCAAGCCGCAGTAGGGCTCTGCTGTGGCTGATTAGACTCATTTTTTAGGGCCCCAAAGTTGACAGACTAACAATTAATGACCCGGCGAACTAGTGCGCAAGCATCACAGCTGTTGGCTACCGAATTGGGCATAGTTGTTATCTCTTTTGCACGCATGGGAGTTTTCTGTTGGAGGTATTGTCGTCTCAAAGCAAACGTATTTTTTTTCAAAAAATATCCCAATTGATTTCTAATCAAGGTTTTAAATTAACTTGGTCGTTCATTAATATTATACTTTCTGAACTCCGCGCCCCGAACCGCAAAGTTTAAAAACTGCACAAAATAGTCTTCAGTCACTCGACGAACACTGGAAACCAACACAAAATGTTTGCCTTCAAAGGCGTGAAGTCCACCCACGACAAAAACTGGATTTCCCAGGCTAATCCTGCTGAAAATAGGATCCCGTTGGGCCATCAGCCTGCGGCTCTGGGCCTCCAGTAGCTGGCCGAGTCTGGAGGGCCTGAGATAAGCCTTTGAAACAACACGAAAAACTTAAAAATGCGATACCTACTCGTCTTCAGCTGGGAGGACTTCGTCCTCCTCTTCCTCACTGTTTGAAGCAATGGAGTTTGAATGATTCAGCACACAGAGAATGGCAGATGTGCCATCATCCAAAATGAGTCTGGTTCTATCGTTTTTACGCTCCACTGAGGTGATTCGGGCGCAAAAAGCCACGTTCTGGAACGTGGTTCCATAGGCCTGGAACGACCTGGTTATTCCGTTTTGTAGCTCAAAGTTTAAGTAGTCTCGGATAAGGTAGATTCCTGAAAATTGCCGCATAGAATGTGGTGGTTGGTAACTACCAAACTTTTATTGGCTCTTGGCGCTGCGTTCCTAAATTTCACATTTTCAACCGTTTTTTTTTTAAACTTGACCATGTAAACTACATATATGAATCTGAATGAAATCCATATACGAATACTTAAACTGTTTAAACAAATCACATCTCTTTCGAAACGGTATTTGATACCTTAGGGCCTCCTAGAGTTACTTTCTCAACACCCCTATTCGATACTTGCCTAATTGTTTTCCTATTTTGGGCAACACCAATTCAGTATCCTCCTGTTCCATTAATAACTAGAAATCACAGTTTTTCTGCTTTGAAAAACGTAAAAAATGCTCCCAAAGTTTCTACTTTCAACGGCTTTCAAACGCTCAAACTTTATAGGTTAGCACCACAGATTATCAAACTATTAAGTTACAAAGTTAGCACCACAGATCACAGAGGTTACTCTGTGATCCGTGGTTAGCACTTAGATCTGTCCACAGACTACATACTATTGGCATGGCATAGATGAAGACAACTGGCCCTAGATCTGTCAGTGTCAGTAATTGGAGCTGCGATCAAAACATCCAAACATAATTTGAAAATTTTTCTTATAAAGCCATTCACAAGTAGAAAAAATCGGCTTAATTCTAAAAGCCAAGACTCTAAAATACGTTCCAGTTCGGTGACAGTGCATAAGTTCTCTTAGTAAAAGTGTTATTTTGATGTTTGTATGATTGGAGGTTAAGAGCCCTGTTTTTGTGTTTGTGTACGCTTTGGGGGAGCCTCCCCTGAAATGTCCATCAATGTGACCGTGACGGGGAATCCAGTTAGTATTAGGAGGGGCCAAATGATCACCAACCCCCAAAGGGAGAAGGAGGAACGAGATAAAAGGCGCATCTTGAGGTTACAGCAAGTGCGACAACAGTCCAAAGATTTGGCTGCAAAAGTGCGAAATAAAGTGCGGACTGAGCAGAAAAAACACCAGCAGGACATTGAACGTGATGGTACGTACAATTGCTTTGAACAAATCCAGTTTGGGACTTTAAAAGGGACCGTTTTCCGACGTTCAATATAATGTTACCTGAGCCAATAAAATTAGCAACATTTTGTTGATTGCATTAACAGCTTGTTACGCCTATGCTAATGTTAAAGCAGTATTAGTTACGTACTATTTTCCATTCATTATTGCCTCATATTTAATTCCCAAATAAATCGAATTTTGTGAACGTAGCATCGTTTGGAGTCTTCCATGTAGGACCAAACAGTATCGAAAAATACAATGGCATCAACGTACACGCTGAGATCTAGATGGTAAACTGACAAAACTTGCATTTACGTAGTTTCTTCGTGTGGAAATAGCAATACGCTCGAAAATTCAGAACGCACCACTTTCAGTTTACCGGGTCAAATTTAACTTTTCACATTAATACCGGGGAGATTTGCTTGCGTAAATTAAAAAGCTAAAAAAATCCCGCACTTTATGATGTTGGCATCGAACATTTTACTACTATTTCAATAGGCAGAGAAAAGCTGAAAGACTGGCAAAACCGACAGCTGCTGGAGCTGCACAATCAATACCTGGATGCGCTGGATGAAATCGGTGTGGGACATAAAGAAGCTGAAGAGCTGGCTGATGAAAGCGCCCTGTTGGAAAGTGAAAAACTGCGCAACGAAGAAATCGCAAAAACCCGAGGAAAATTGGCACAAACCAAGCACCAGATCCAGAAAAACGAGGACAACTATAAAAAAGCGGTTCCCATCCAGCAGAAAAAACTGGTCAGGGACATCGAGAATACCAGGGCGGCTTTGGTGTCTGCTTTGCCGAAAAAAGCCCCCAAACCCAACACCAAACAAGCCCAAACTAAGGTTGAACCAACGTTTGTTCACTTTTGATTAGTTTTTGCCAACTCCTTTTTTTTGTAGGTGACCAAAAACGCGACCACAACTGATATAAACATTACCATTCCAAATGAGGACGGTTTTAGCGAAATTTACCAGTCAGACTCCAGTTCCAAGCAGAGCGAAAGTCCATGTGAATGTTCGGAAACTTCTGAGGACCACAGTCAGACAATCAATTTGAAAATGAAACCCCCAAGCCAACACTCATCAGGTAAAAGTTGTCGCTGGAAACCACATTTAGGTGTAAACCAAATTATTGTTTGTTTCTGCAGAAAAGTCCGCCCCGAAGCCGAAATCTTATCAAGAAACGCTTGACGAGCGCAAGCGGTTGATTGACGAATTCAGGGCGCAGCCTAAAAGCATCCCAATCGACACCAGGATTTCCGATAGAATCAAGCAAAGACAGTTCAAGTCCACCGAACCAGACTATTGCGATTCTCTTCACGTTGAGTCTCTAGCAGGCCATTTTGTTAAGCTCCAATCAAGTTCTAGACTGGACAAAGACCCTCTGGAGCTGAGTAGCGATGACTGTATTTGCACAAAGATCAACAGCAGCTGCCCGTGTAAAACCAGCAAGTCTACGGCAGTGCAAACTGAAGGCAAATTCATCTGCAAATGTGAAAAGCCTCGGCATTCTTCACGCAAGCTCCAATCGAGGTAGGGAAGGTTTTACAGCTGGAGGGGTGGGTTTTGATGTAAAGTTTCCCAGGTCGGAGGCGACGTCTGGGCGAAACCCGGAAATTCCCGTAAAACCCGCCGTGAAGCTTAAAGCTACCAGTGAGGAGCCAGTGGCAGCCAGCACAGTTTCCTCCGCGTACGACCGAGTCCCTCATTACGATTTTCCCAATAGATTTGTTACGGAAAGGCAATCAAGTACCCAAGTGGAGAAGGTCGATGGAAGCAGCCTTGAGGTAATTTAACCTCCAGTTATTCTCTAAGAAATTGCGCAGGAAATGCGAAGCTACCTTTGGAATGGCAATAAATTGTGCAATATATTTGGTCTCAATCGGACGTCCGCAAAATAATGGATTTTTCTCAACCTGTTATTGAACTCACATTTTATATGTCTGCGCTATTTATATTTAAAAAAAATCTACGCATTTGCGAATTTGATCGACATGGTAACTATAAAAATAAACACTTGCTTGTTTTCTAGGTTGTTCCTAATGTTACTTCCGAGGTGGAGTGGCAGGAGATAATCAAGCAAAGAGACGTGGATGCTCACGTCCGAGGAAAACGGGCTTTGGAGAAGGAAAAGGCTCAAAGAGACTACCAAGAACTGATGAAGAAACTGCCGGTGCTTCAGCGAAAGGAGCACATCGCACAAATTGGCACGGACAAGCCCGAATACCACATGTCTGAGGAGCGGCTTAAGGAACGCGAAAAGCAACGACAAAATCGGCTAGAAAATGCCTACTCACAGGCCATTCCCAATTTGAAGCCCCAAATTGTCACTCTACCCAAGCGAAAATTGGAAATTAACAAACCAGACGAGCCGTTCGAGATTTTGAATGGTTAGACTAATTTCTCGAATTTTGGCTCATTTTAGAACCGTATGTTGTTTTCTATTGCCAGGTGATGATTCCAGGACATTGAACTTGGGCAAATGGGACACAGATTCGAACCGGAAAACCATGTTTTCTGCTGAGGAAGTGCATGAAATAATCAGGGCCTTCACTGTTCAGAAGCCGGAAGATCGAAAAGCCAAACTCAAGCAGCTGCTCAACAGTTTGAAGCTGCAAAAGGAGCAGCTGATCAATGAAATTCGTGCGTTGCCGAAAGACGACAGTATTGACGCCCTTATTATGGATCTCACCTCGTTTAGTGATGATGACAAGCCCCTTAGGTACATTCATGAATAATTATAAAATAAAAACTTTTGCAGAAAAAAGTGCAAAAACAGTCGTTCGTTTGGCGACAATTTTGACTCAAACTGTATTATAAGGGTTCGTTTAACTGTTAAAATCGTTGATTTCAGGCCAGTAAAACGCAAGTCTAGCGAAAAGGTGAGAAAAAGAAGACTGGAGGAAACGGAGAGTCAAAGCGACACTTCCAGCGATGTGAAAGTCCGCGAAAGACACCACAAGCATCCAAAGGGCCACCACACGGACAAATGCGGCCATCACAAAGACAAATACGGCCGTTCTCCAAAAAAAAGAATGAAAAAACCCTCTAGGGTGTTGGTTTTGCAAAACATGAGCACGCAAACGACGCCGAAGTCAACTAAAGAACAGGCCTCAACAACCACCACTACAACTGGAAGTTCTAACGAGCAACTGTTGCCAAATTCCGTAAAAATCTGCACAAAATCGCATACCCCTTGCGATTGTTATAAAAGCCAGAACGGCGATTCGTCCGAGGAAGTTTGCAAGATTTTCATTAAAATTAACGAGGAGAATCCTCCAAAAATCCAAGTAGTGCAAACCGCGACAGTCGAGCCGGAGAAAGCGGCAAAGGACAAAGAAGCCAGCCCTAGAAAATCCAGCAATCACTCGGGGAAAGAAAACAAACCCCCCAAGTCTAAAACAAAAGTTACAGAAGTCAACTTGCCAGCCTCTAAGGACTCGAAGGCACCGCACAGGGGCACAAGGCAAACTTGGAAAGAGCAATTGAGTAAAAACTCGATGTCTACATCCAGCACCTCGTACATGAGCCCGCCCGACTTTTCCAGGCCGAATACCACAACTAGCACGGAGGCCAGCAGACAGTCCTTGTACAATTTGAGGAGAAAACCTCAACCAACAGAAGTAGCAATTGGGTAATTTCAGACAACTTTAATATACAGCGTGATTCAAACCGGCGTCAAATGGGGCTTACTTGAGGAGAGTACGGAAAACGCTTTTAAAACCAAAGTTGAATTTATTTCAGTACTCGTCCGCATTGATTTTGATCTAAATTTACCCCTAAAGTTCCTTTGCAGGTGCTCTCAAATATCTAGTTTTTGGTTAACAACTTTTTTCTGTACTTTCTACATACCCCCAAAATAATGACGCCAACATTGAATCATCCTTTACTATCAACTATAAAGGAAATTTTGCCCTTTCAGGTCGATGAACAGCAAGGTTTCATCTCAATCCAGCGCCAAACCAGAGCAAATGAGCAAAACTCATTTAGTAAATTACATTAAGCGATTGTTGAGCATGTCGAAGGCGAGCGTGGACGATTTGGGCGTTTCATCCAGCGATGTTCAAACTCCCAGTCAAAGCATCATTGAAATGGAGCCAAACAATCCTCTGGCCTCGTTGCACAACGCAGTTCGGCTCATCAATTTGAGAGCAGCTGATTTTCCTAGAGATTCAGGCGAATTTTTTTCCACCAAAAATTCGTCCCAAAACTCGCAAACTAGAGACCATTCAAGCCAAAAGAACGACAGTTCTACGGAAAAAATCGCTAAGGAACATCTACTGTCGCAATATGCGGATGTTACGGATTCCTGCACCAAACGAATAGCCAATCTTGCGGCCATGATCGAGCAATTGAGGCAGGAAAAGCTGCAGATGATGGAAAGTCCACCTTTGGTGCCTTACCATGCCTCCCCTAGCAGTCCTCAACCGGAGGACGCCCCTCAAGTGACCCCCACTTTAAGCGACAAGGAAAACTCCACTAAATACTTCGATTTTCCCCCGCATGACGATAAGAGCAAAGCGAGCAATTCGACAGCCAGTTTGGACGAAGAGGAACTCAATCGGAGATTGTTGGAAATTGATATGTCGCTAGCGGAAAAGCTGAAGAAGTTCAGACAGGAACAGGATGGGACTGGCGGTAAGTCGATCCTTGGCCACCAGCTTACCAAAGGGAGTATTGAAAAGGGTTAAATGATAATGATATTGCAGAAAGAGGCCTAAAAATCGAACAGTTAATAATATTTTCACAACGAATTAAAGCCAAAGGCAGCTTCTTTTCAAAGTCAAACTAGTCTGGGTTCTAAAATACATCTGCTGCTTTAAACAAAGTGGGAGGAAAAATAAGCACCATTCTAGTACAAACTCATATTTTTATTCGACAGAACCTCAACCCACTGTGTTGGCGCCAGAAGACCAAATCAACGATCCAGACCAGCCGTTTCTAGATCGTCTTCACCGGCTAATCCAGGAAAGTCATCAACAGGAGAACGCAGTTGAAGCGGAAAAGCCTCCAGCTGTCCAACCATTTGTGCCATTTCTTGTGGACATCCCGAAATTGCCCATTTTAGAGCCAGAGCCGGACAGGATGAACTTGGGGCCGGAGAGGCGGCACCCGCCGCCCTCCAAAGGCCTTTTAACCGCCAAGAAATTTAATGGCAACATTTCCCTAATGCCGCATGAACTATCGACGATTACCGAAGCTGATAGTCAACATTCGGCCAAGATTAGTCCCAATCAGTCTAAAACGAATGCATCAATCGATAGAGAGTTGCATCAGCTGCTGGATCAGGCGGGGAGCCCCGATAGCGAAAGCACTTTGCCTGCGGCAAAGCCAAACAGTCCTGGAGCCGCATCAGGGAAACACAAGTCTGCTTCAGATAAATCGGATGCTTCCATTTCCAACGCCTTAACTTGCAGCGACAGCACTTGCACGAATCTCGCCGCGTTGTCATCCAGCTCGAGTAAAATGTCTTCATCCAGCTCTTCTGGCGATTTGAAGAGCATCGAGGCGATGCTGAAGAGCATCGGTTTGGACTGGGCGATTCCAACGCTTCACAAGACTCAGGAAGCGCTAGCTTTAACGTCCAGCTCCAGCTCAGTGGATTTGAGTTCGAAAAAAACGAGCGCGAGAAAGTCGACCAGCGAGAGCGAAGTTAGCTTGAAGGAGTTCCTCAAAAAACAGCTTCTCGAGAAGGTTTCTTCAAGCAGTTTGAATAGATCGAACGCCAGTCCAGCTAGTTTTGTGCGCGACTGCTCCGATGTCTCATCAATTCATGAGAAGACCAAGCGGAGAACTTCAACGCCAGTTTTCTCGAGTAAGAGCACGAATAAGTCCAAGGAAGAGCAGCTGTTTAGTGGCGCTTCGGATATATCTTCAGTCCGGCATAGTTCGGCGAATGTTTCAGAAAAACGAACATTCCAGAGTTTGGCTGGTGACGATCAGTCCCTAGCTTCGGAAAGTACCGCTGACTAATTGTTATGATTGTAAGATTATTTTATTACTTTGTATATTTATTGTTTGTTCGTTTTATTTC